GTACGTAGGAGGGAGGAGAAATGGCGATAGACAGCAAAGGATACCGCGCGTCGGGGTTAACGGCATCGGTATATATATATATATGTGTGTGTGTGGGAGAGAGCAGCACGAACGAGATGGAGGTCATGTCCTCGGAGGCCGGATCGACCAGGGTGAACGGGTCTTCGGTGTAGAAGCGCGACTTGCGCGGGCCAGCGTCACCTCCCTTCGGCCGGCGCAGCTTGCCCAGGACCTTGAGGGTCTCATCGTCGAGGCCGGTGGCATCGTCGGCCGGGGGCGGGACGTTGGCGTAGGCGGCGCGGCGCGCATCGACCGAGCCAATCGGACCAAGCTTCTCGAAAACGGCGATGAAGAAGCCACCCGTGTCGAGGACATGCGGGAGAATGCGAATGCTGCAGACACACCCCAAAGGGAGAGAGAGAGAGGGGGGGGGGGGGAAAGGGAAAAAGCGCAAGTCGGTGAGAAGGGGCGAACAAGGAAGCGGGTCGGTGCAAGCCGGCAAACGGGCACAAGCAACGCAAACACCGGGGGAACAACGAACCAGCGATCGAGATGCATGCGCTCGACCTCCTCGGGAGTCGGCGGGCACATGGAGTCCTTGATGTGCTGGGTCTCGGCGGCCGGGATGTCAGCCTTGGACTGGTAGAAGTCCAGGTTCCGGTTGCAAATGGGCCACTGGGTGAGGCCAGGCTGGCGGCTCATGCCGGGCAGAGCGTCACTGGTGTCCACAAGGCGGAGCTCATCTGATCGGGCAGAGAGGGAGGCAGTGGCTAAGTTAGTGGCGGCAAAGGCCAGGTCCAGTTACAGGTCCGCATGCTGGAGAGAGAGAGAGAGAGGAAGGAAGCAGAGAGAGCAGCAGAAGGATAAGGAGCGAAGACAGCCGCCTCAACAGGGCATGCACAATGACGCACTGGGGAACTGGCGCAGGAGCTCGGCCACAACAGCCTCATTCTCGATCGGGTTGAAGGAGCAAGTCGAGTAGACAAAGCGCCCGCCGATCTTGAGCAGCTCCAGACCCCGGACGGCAATGCGGATCTGCAGGCTGTGCACGATCGGGAGCAACAGCGGGAGAGGAGAGTGCCCCCCGATGGAACGAAGGCCGTGTTAGCATCGGCCACAACCAACCACAGGCGCGGGAACCGGACGGCGCGCGCGCGCGCGCGCGCGCGCGCGAGAGAGAGAGAGCGAGGGAGTCGGGGTGGGCAAGGGGGAGCAGGGGTCACGCACTTGTGCAAGGCAATCGCATTGGCATGGTTCCACTTGGACCAGATGGCCGGGTTCTTACGGAGGGTGCCGTCGCCGCTGCAGGGGACATCGCAAAGAACCCGGTCGAACTGAAGCGGGTTGCTGAGAGGGTGCTGGGTGGCCGGATCCTCCACCGGCAGGGAGATGGTCGGGAAGAGGGAGGCGTCATAGTTGGACGTGACGCAGGCCGGCGATTGGAGACGCTTGATCTGGTGCACCAGCATCTGGCACCGGCGGTGGTCCACGTCGTTGGCCACCACCATGCCAGTCGGCAGGGCCGGGGTGCCATCCTCCATCAGGGGGGTCTCATGCAGGGCCTCAATGATCTGGGCGGTCTTGGAGCCGGGAGCGGCGCACATGTCCAGAACCTGGCGCGCACAACGAAGGCGGACATGTCCATGTCAGTGCGCGGGAGGGTGCGCGGGGCGGGGCACCTCGGAGGGCCAGCCGATCCGGAGGTGCATGGATGTGCCCGTGTGTATGTGTAATATGCATATGTGTGTGTGTGTGTGTGTGCGTGTAAATGGCAATGAGAACGAACCAGGTGGTCCGGCTGGACATCCAGCAGCAGGGGAGGGATCATGGAGACCAGCTCCTGACGAGTGATGTTGCCCTCGGTGTTTTCCTGGACAATGAACTTGTGGAAGGCGTCCAGCTCGGGGCTCTTGCGGATCAGCAGTCGAGGGAGGCCGATGTTCCAGACGCGCTGATCGGGGATCCTGCGCAGGGAAAGACCGTCGGGGTCAGACAGGGCGGCCTTCTGGTCATTGCAGCTGGCGAAAGGCAAGGTGGAGGCCAGGGCACATACCACGACACGGGCGACGGCTTGGGGATGGGCTTGCCCTCAATCTGGATGTCGGCCATCTTGGAGATGAACTGACTCTCGAGAATGGCCCGGAAGGACTTCACCTCACTGGGGACCAAAAGACAGCAGGCCAAGAATCGATGGGCGACCATGGGAGGAGGGGGGGACCGGGGGAAGATGCACTTATCGAGTCAGAGCCGGTCGCACACAGGGAGCGCTTCGCCCACCTCGCCCGGTGCCTGGCCCTGCGGCAGGGCAACGTACGCCTTGGAGCCGACAATGCGGAAGGTCGAGGGGAGGTCCGAGCGCATGGAGTCCATGAACTGGGTGAAGCCCTCGTCGCCACCGGGGACGATGTTGCATGCGCGATAGAACTTCTCGAAGTTGGCATTCTCCTTGGTGATCTCCTTCCACTTGCCATTCTGCTTGTAGTCGTGCGCGTGGACCGGCTTCTCGGGATTGGCCGGAACCGCGGTGCCGTCCTCCAACTGGACCTTCTTGGTGTCCGGCTCGGGGGACGAGCCATCAGTGCCATCAGCCATGGTCGGGGTCTCCGAGAGCTTGCGCTTGGTGGGCGAATCACCGGCGGAGGTCATGTTTGGAGTGTAGTATGCGGGGACAGGCGCGCTCTGATGCGTATGTGTGTGTGTGTGTGTGAGTGTGTGTGTGGGGAGAGG